CTATGCCCCCCATGGGCAAGAGGGAGCAGTGGCCTGCTGCGTGCCGCCCCCCCAGCCACTTACTCGTTATATGCCCCCCTAACCTTGAAACATTTTGGTGTTTTGGGGTCTGATGTGGCTCGACGAGCACAGGTGTCGCCGCAGGGGCGCCTGCGCAAGCGGGTGCTATGCCCCGCATAAACGCGAGGGGGCAGTGGCCAGCTGCGTGGCGCCCCCCAACCACTTAGTCGTTATATGCCCCCTACCATTGAACCATGTTTGTGTTTGGGGTGTCAGATGTGGCTTGATCAACTCTGGTGTCACCGCAGGGGCACCTGCGCCACCGCGTGCTACGCCCCCCATGCGCAGGAGGGGCCAGGGCCCAGCTGCGTTTCCTCCCAACCACTTAGTCATTAGATGCCCCCTAACATTGAAAAATGTTTGTGTTCTGGGGTTTGATGTGGCTCGACCAGCACTGGCGTCGCTGCAGGGGCGCTTGCACCAGCGGGCGCTAGGCCCCCAGAGGGGGCGCTGCGCAGCTCGGGGGTGCCGCCCCGCCACATCGTCGTTCTACGCCCCCTCATACCAAATTATGTTTGCGTTTTTCCATTGTCCATCCCCTCGGTGGGCCCGGTTGCGGCCGGAGTGGCGAAAATGCTACCGGGCGCTGTGGCCTCGCGCGTAAAGGGGGCGTTCCCCGTGGGTGGCGGCCCGCCCCCACTCGCCGCGATCCGCCCCCTAATCTTGAACGTTTGTTATTGTTTCTCTTGTGCTTTGCTGTTCTCGGGTCAGGCAGCCTCCGCGGTATTCTTGGAAGTGAACCTGGGCGGGTGCTTCTTCCACTTTCGCGCCGCGGTCCACAAGCACGTGGTCGACTTGGACCTCGGTCAGCGGTGCGGCGCCAACCCTGAGTTCCGCTTGCGGGTGGGGAAGTTATGCGCCTTGGCGTTCATCCCCGTCGTCGACGTCGCCACTTGGTTCGAGAAGCTGGCTGGCGATTTCGAAAACCCCGAGCCTCCGCTCCTGACGTACTTCGAAAAGACTTGGGTGGGGGAGAAGCACGCCAGGGCCAGGGCGCGCAAGGCGCCTACGTTCCCAGTTGACCTGTGGAACGTCCGCGACCGGGCGCGGGCGAAAACAATTCTCACCACGAACGCCGCGGAGTTGTTCCACCGGCACCATGCGACGCAGTTCCACAGGGGCGCGCGCCCTTCCTTCCCGACGTTCATTGAGAGCCTGCACAAGCAGCAGAGGCTCACGAATCGGGACATTACCGATGTCATCATGGGCGGCGAGAAGAAGGAGCGCGACACGACCAGGATTCGCAACGACAGGCAGTTCATCTTGGTCGAGAAGTTCTTGCGCGACGGCGACGGCATGGCCCTCCTCGCAAACATGGCTAAGCTGCGCATGGGGGACGACTGAGGCGGCCCGATCCGGCCCCAGCGGAGGCCGCACTAGGGCTGCATCCCTCGCGCGCCCTCCAAGCTCCGCCGGCTCCACAGTGGACCGGGTGGGAATGTTCTGGCTTTCCTGTGGCCCTCGCCTGCCGACGACGCATTCAGCGCCCGCCGCTGTACCTAACCACCCTGCCGCGGTGCGTGGTCGTTCATGGCCGCGCAGGGGGCGGCGCCTCTTCGTCGCGCTCCGTTTCCTTCTCTGGGCGACCGCAGGGACAATGGCGTCTGCGCGTTCCATGGCCCTCCCGCGAAAACGATGCCCGTGGCCAGCTGCGTGCCGCCGCCCGCCCACTTAGTCGTAGCATGCCCCTCGATCTTGAAAGATGTTTGTGTTTTCGGGGTATGATGTGGCTCAGCCGGCACAGGTGTCGCCGCAGGGGCCTCTGCTCCAGCGGGTGCTATGCCTCCCCGCAAGCAAGAGGGGGCATCGGCCAGATGCGTGGCACCCCCCCAAACCACTTAGTCGTTATATGTCCCCCAACCTTGAACCATTTTTGTGTTTGGGGGGATAGATGTGGCTCGGGCAGTACAGGTGTCGCTCGCGCAGGGGCGCCTGCGCCAGCGGGTGCTATGCCCCCCATAAGCGAGAGGGGGCAGTGGCCAACTGCGTGGCGCCCCCCCGACCACTTCGTCGTTCTATGCCCCCTAACCTTGAACCATTTTTGTGTTTTGGGGGTCCGATGTTGCTCGGCCAGCACAGGTGTCGCAGCAAGGGCGTCTGCGCCAGCTGGCGCTATGCCCCCCCCATGAGCAAGAGGGGGCAGTGGCCTGCTGCGTGGCGCCCCCCAGCCACTCAGTCCTTATATGCCCCCTAACCTTGAACCATTTTTGTGTTTTGGGGTCTGATGTGGCTCGACAAGCACAGGCGTCGCCGCAGGGGCGCCTGCGCAAGCGGGTGCTATGCCCCCCCATAAGCGCGAGGGGGCAGTGGCCAGCTGCGTGGCGCCCCCCAACCACTTAGTCGTTATATGTCCCCTAACCTTGAACCATTTTTGTGTGTTGGGGTATGATGTGGCTCGACCAGCACTGGTGTCACCGCGCGGGCGCCTGCGCAAGCGGGTGCTATGCCCCCCATGGGCGCGAGGGGTCAGTGGCCTGCTGCGTGGCGCCCCCCAGCCACTTAGTCATTATATGCACCCTAACCTTGACATATTTTTGTGTTGGGGGGGGTCCTGATGTGGCTCGACAAGCACTGGTGTCGCCGCAGGGGCGCCTGCACCCGCGGGTGCTATGCCCCCCATTACGAAGAGGGGTCAGTGGCCAGCTCGGCGGCGCCACCGCCGCACTTCGCCGTGACATGTCCCTTTCTGCTTCACGTGCTGCTCCTGCTCCCCCGGCCCCTCCGGCTCCTGCCCCTCCTGCTGCTGCTCCTGATGCTGCTGCTCCTCCTGCTGCTGTTGCCCTTCCTGATGCTGATCCCGCCCCTCCTGCTGCAGCTCCTCCTCCTCCTCCTCCTCCTCCTCCTCCTCCTCCTCCTGCGAGTCCCTGCTGCTCCTCCTGCTGCTCCTCCTGCTCGGCAAACGGGGGCCCGGCTACCGGCGACCGGGATCCGGCGAAGGGGAACCGGCGAACGGGAACCGGCGAACGGGAACCGGCGAACAAGACTTCCGGCGAACAGGAACCGGCGAACGGGAACCGGTGAACAGGAACCGGCGAACAGGAACCGGCGAACAGGAACCAGCGAACAGGAACCGGCGAACAGGGTTACCGGCGAACAGAACCCCGGCGAACGGGGACCCGGCGAACAGGACTTCCGGCGAACAGGAACCGGCGAACAGGAACCGGCGAACAGGACTTCCGGCGAACAGGGTCTGTATCGCGAGGCGCGGCGGCGACGGCGCCGCCGGTCGGGCCAGCCTCTGCGGCGCTGAAGGCGCAGGCCCTCTGCGGAGCTCCCTCTCCGGAGCTCCAGCAGCAGCAGCGGTGGCAGTGGACCCCGGGGGGAGCTCGCGCGGCGGGGAGAGCTTATCCGGCTCCGGCTCGAGAAGGACGGGCGCCGGGAGGCGCCGGGCGCGGCGGATCCAGGTCGCCGCGCCGGCCGAGCGGACCGCGCTGGTGGACAGGCGGGCGGCGAGCGCGCGCTCCGAGAGTGCCAGCCTTCTGCGCGGGGATAGTGGCTCTGGCGCCCCCGGCCGCCCCCGGCCGCCTCGGCAGCCCGTCGCGCTCTGGCAGTGCGACGGGCAGGCCGGCCGGGGTTCCTCCACCGTGGAACGCTTGGGAGGAGGGAGGAGGGGCCTTCCTGGTCCGCTGGAGGGCAAGGCGGGCGGGGGCCTGGGCGCCCACCTTCAGAGCGGGCATGCAGTCCGCCAGATTCAGGAGGCGCTGAGAGCGACGGCCTCGACCTGCTGGTGTCGCACGAAGCCCCGGGCACCTGGGTCCTCTCCAGGCGCGGCCCTGAGAGTCTGGACACTTGGGGGAACGCCCCGCGCTGGCTTCGGGCCGGCGCCGAGGAGCTGCTGGGCCGAGGTGCACTCCTGCTTCGCCTCCCACCAGGCGGGCTCTAGGACCCCCCACCAGTCTGCCTGCTCAGCCCCTTCTCCCGCAGCGGCGTGCGACGCAGGCCCCGACGCGGCGGCCTGCGCGGTTGCTTCTTGCTGGGCATCCCCTGGCTCCGCCACCGTGGATCCCTCGGCGTCGGCCGACGCGGGCGACGAGGGCGACGGCGGCCTTGTGCAGGCGCCCGCGGCGAGTGCCCCCGGGGGGGCGGCGGCCCGCCGAGCGCGCCCGCCCGCGCGGCGAGCGCCCCCCGTAGGGGCGGCCCGCGGCGCCGAGAGTCTCCGCGCGGCGCGCGCCTTCAAGGGCGCGGCCCGCGGAGCCGGGCGGCCGCGCGCGGCGAGCGCCCCCGCCAGGGCGGCCCGGGGTCCAGAGACGCGCGCGCGGCGAGCGCCCCCGGGGCCAGAGGCGCCAGGACGGCGGCGGCGGCCGGCGGCGCAGGCGCAGCGCGCGCCCTCGAGATGGCGCCCCGTGACGCGCAGGCGCAGCGGGGCTTCGCGCGGGAGGTCCTCACCCTCGGCGGGCGGGACGCGGCGCGCGCCCTCGCTTGCCCTTCCCTGGCATCCGACGTTGCAGAGAAATTGCAACTTTGCAAAAAGTCGCGGCGGGGGCCCTGGGCCCCATCTTTCTGCATCGCGTTTCGAGAGCGATCTGCGAGGGCCCCGGGGCCCAGAAATTAACGCCCCCCCCCCTTACGACTCCGCCCGTGGGGGAATGCGCCCCCGACGCGCGGCTGGTTCGGCGCCGTCCGCCGCGCGCTCGAGGTCGAGCTGGGCGCGATTTCTACATGAGCGCTGCGCAGCGAACGAGCCACACACACATCTGTTCATATATATATATATGTATGTATATGTATGTATGTATATATATAATTATATATATATGGGCGCCCCCCCAGTATCATGCCTTTCTCTTTCTCTTTCTCTCTCTCTCTCTCTCTGTCTCTCTTTTTTTCTTTATCGTTTTTTTTTATTTTCCTCTCTCTCTCTCTCTCGCGCCCTGAGGAGCGGCCGCAGTCGGTCGGGCCGACCGCGGGCGCCCGAACGCGCACGCGAGGCCGCGCAGCCCTCACGGCTGCAGGCCTGGCATCAGGTCGGCCCGCCCCAGCAGGCCGCAGGCGGCCGCGCGCATGCACGCGGCCGAGCAGGACCTGGGCCCCAGCGAAGCTGCGCCCAGGAGGTGGCTGCGCGCCAGGCGCGCAGCCGAGGGGCCCGCAGGGCCAGCGGGCTGTCCGCCAGCGCCGGCAGCTCCGAGCTCAGCCGAGCGGCCGCCCCGTGTACGGTTTTTCCCGCTCAGCAAGCGGCCCAGGTAGAGCCTCTTCTTCTCGCCAGCCGTGGCCTGCGGCTCGAACGGCAGGCGGCCGCCGCACTCCGCCTTCAGGCCCCTGGCCCGATCCACGCCCTTCAGCTGCGCGAAGGCCCCGCACTTGCAGCAGAGGGCGTGCTGGCCCGCCGTGCGCATGCCGTGCCCCAAGTGCACCTTTGCGAGCTGCACCTCCCCGCGTGGCGGGCGGGGGCCTCCCGCCCGCTCGGGGCTCCTCGAGCGCTGGGGCCCTCGGGCATTCCCGCTCAGCCCCTGCCCGTCGCCGCCGCACTCGCTGGGCCCAGCAGCCGCTGCCGCCGCCGCTGCAAGGGCACAGGCAGCCGCCGCAGGGGGGCCCCCTGCCCCGCGGGCAGCCGCAGCCTCGCATCCTCCGTGCCCCATCGCAGGGCCGCCGCCACCCTCAGCAGCGGCCTCGTCACGCAGTCCATGAGCCGCCCCTGCTGGCTGCGGCGGCAGCGCCTGGCCCGCAGCGGCTGCAGGCGGGGGCGGAGGCAGCCCAGACGGCGCCGCCTCTGGGTGCGGCCAGTCGTCCTCTCCGTCGCTGTCGCTGCCCAGGGCCCCTAGCCCGCCCTGCATCGCGTTCGCCATCGGCAGCTGCTGGTTGAGCCAAGTGCCTTGCCATGGCCGCCGCAGTGCTTCAATCCCTCGGCCGCGGAGGCCCAGGGGCCGCGGCAGGCCGGCTTGGCGGGGCGGCAGCTCGCTGGAGCCAGCAGGGCCCAGGCCAGGCAGGGCACCAGCGAAGCCAGGCAGCGCGGGCAGGTTGGCCCCCGCCTCGCCGATGACGTCCTCCATGGTGCAGCAGACGTCGTCCAGTGTGGCCCACTGCAGGGCAGCCGCGTGCAGCCAGTTCTCTGGGGTCTCCAGGCTCATCAGGTGCCCCACTGCGATGCGCCGCACGTCCGCTTTCAAGAGCCACGCTTGCCTGACCATCGCCTGGACCAGCGCTCGCAAGCCTATGGAGCCTGCACGCCTCGCTGCCGCCGCCCTCGTGTCCTCATTGTCGGGCCTGGCCAGCCAGGCGAGGGCGTGCTGCGCCGCCCAGGCCATCCAGGAGTCCTCCGCGGCCTCCGAGTCGCGCAGGTCGAACGCCCAGCAGCCCGCGAAGGCCCTCAGCATGCTGCGGAGCACCTCCAGGCCGATCGCCGCGTCGGGGTCGGGGCTGCTGTTGCGCTCGTCCTCGATGTGGCCCGCGGGCTGGCCCCGCGCGTGCGGAGAGCGGGGCCTGCTGGCCGACCGCCTCGCACTGCGCCTGCGCCGCTGGGCGTGGGCGGCGCGCTGGTCCACTGGCCGCTGTGGGCCCTCCGCATCGCCTCTTGGCCGCGGCAGCGCAGGCCTCTGCGGCTCGGCTCGGGCTCCCGCGGGGCCTTGCGACTGGCTGGTGCGGCCGCTCGTCCGAGACCTCGAGCGTCCTCGCCGCTGGGCCGCACCACTCTGCCGCCAACCGCCACTCCCACCTCCATATGCTCCGCCCACGTGCTCGAAGAAGGTGACGTAGAGAGGCCCACGTCTGCCCCCAGCGCGCCGTGCGTTACCGCGATCGCACAGGAAGGCGCGCGCCGCAGCGTGGTAGCCCCTCAGCCGCTGGAGCTTGGCTTGTCTGGCCTCGCCCTCCAGCTGGGGCGCCTCGTCGATGTGGGCCTCCCTGAAGGGCCCGCCATCACGCCAGCCTCTTTCGCAGAACTCCTCGGCCCGCCTCAGCCTCTCCGCGTTGCGCATCTCGTCGCTGTTGTGCGCGAAGAAACCGCGATCGACCTCCTCGTCCAGCAGCCTGTACACGTACTCTACACACTCCTCCATCCAGGACGCGTAGGCCAGGCTCTGGTCCATCAGGTCGACGATCCAGGAGCTAGCCAGCATGCCCAAGGCGGCCTCCAGCGGGCCAGCGCGGTCCCACGCTTCGATGGCGAAGAGGTTGTTGCCTTCCTGCGGCCTCGCCAAGCCCACGCGCCCCGCGGCGCCGCCCTGCTCGCAGCCTCGGCCGGGTCGAGGGGCGGGTCGCTGCGACCACCGTGCCGTTGGCGGTCCAGATGCCTCCGCGTCGGCAGACCTCGCAGCAGGGGCACCCTTGGCCGCCTCCAGCAGGTAGTCGACCTTCCGCTGCAACGTCCACTTCTGGTCCTCTGCCGTGGTGTGCGCCCCGCTCGCAGGCAGGAGTCTTCCTCCTCCAGCCGCTCAGTCGCCTGCAGGCTCGCATTGACAGCTGCGGAACTCGCCAGTGGCCGCCCCTGGTTGCAGCGGGCCCGCATCCTGCCCAGCTCCGTAGGCTGGCAAGGTCTGCAGTCCAGCAGCGTCCGTGCCTTCGCCGTGTAGGCCTCCCTCCCGCAGTGCACACATTGCACTCCGCACGAGCTGATGACCTGGTACTCGTGCCTCGTGAGGCTATGGTTTGGGGACGCGGGCCCCCTTCCAAACCTGACGGCGCTGGAGTCTGCCGTCTTTTCCGAGGGGCCTCCGCAGGTCCAGCTCGCAGATGCGCGCCGCCGCCCAGCCCAGGGAAGGTGGCCGTGTCCAGGGCGCGCTGGAGTTCCGCCTGCAACGCCCCCACCGTGTTGGTGTGCAGTCTGGCCTCCTCCGCGCCGAGGTTGGCGAAGAAGTCCGCCCAGCAGTTCCCCAGCCAGTCCGGGGGCCGCAGGCCCTCGTCCAGCGCTTGTTGGAGGCTGCGGTGGGCGGGCACCCATCGGAAGCGCGGGGGCTGCCCCCCGCGCCTCGCTGCCGCCGCATGGAGCTGGCGCCGGATGCTGGCGTGCCGTCCCCTGGCCGATTGCGCTGTCGGGGACCAGTCGTTGCCCTCCGTGACCAGGGCCTGCAGGTCGCTGACGATGACCTGGACGGAGCCCACCTGCACCAGGGGCACTAGGCACGCTTGCCGTTCAGCCCTCCCCACCGTCTGGCGCGGCCCAGGCAGCGGCCCGTAGGCCGCCTTGAGGGGGGGGCCATCAGGCCTGAGGGCCACCGCGGCCCATCCACACCTTCGCGCTTCGGGGGCATTGGAGGCGTGCCCTGAGCCGTCCGTGTACACCACCGACGGCCAGCCCTCCTGCGTGGCGCCCCACTCCAGGACCACGTTGTCCGACGGCGCAGGCGGCGGCATGGCAGGCAGCAGCGGCAGGCCGTGCGACAGCGGCAGCTCGCTGTCCCCGATGGTCCACTTCTGCTCGGCCTCCTCTAGCTGGCGGCGCATCCCCGCGATCGGCTTGCGGAACGGCTCCTCATGCTCCAACTCTTCGCCCTGCGGTACCATGAGGACAGGGCGTGCGCACCACTTGTGCCTGAGCGTGTCCTTGGCTCCCCCACATGCCTGGCACATGTCGGAGTCGGCGTATCCTCTGGCGTATATCCAGGCGTTGGTGAAGTGCCCTCCTGCCCAAACCGCCTGGATGGCCCCCCAGCTCAGCCGCAGGCCTCGCCTTGCACGCCACAGCGCGGACTGCCCTCGGCCAGAGGGTCTCGCCCTGGCCCTCGGGCAGGTGGGCGACCAGCCGCCTGCACTGTCAGCGCTGGATGCCCTCCACCAGCGCGTCCTTGATGCCCCGCGGGGCCACCCTCAGCATGGACAGCGTCTCGCCCAGGTCGGTCTGCAGCGCCCGCGCCGCTGTCATCGACCAGCCGATGCGGCCGAGCGTGAGCCACGTGGCCCCGAGCGGGCCTTGCACCGACGCCCAGGACAGAGCGCCCGCCCTCGCCGCCTCCGCCAGTTTGCCCTAGCTGGCGCTCAGGCTGGCCAGGGATCCTCGGCCCTCCCAGATGCGGCTGGCCAGGCGCGTCACCAGCGGGATGGTGGCTGCGTAGATCGGGTCGTAGTCCACACGCCGCTGCAGCAGCATGACTGCGGCGGTACCACAGCCCGCCTTGGCACCCGCCGTGGCCGCCGCCACCGTGATCAGCTGTGCCAGCGGCCGATCCGCCAGGCCTGCTACGCCCGCGCCATGGCCAGCCGACGGGGACAGGCCAGTGGCTGCCAGCGCCGCTGCGCGCCTTCCAGCTGCCCGCCTGAGCATGGCCACTCGGCTGCGCCTGGCCGCGAGGGCCTGAAGGCGGCGCTTCTCCTGAGTACGGAGCACCTTCCGCCCATGGAGCTCGTGCCCTAGGTTGCGCACCCAGAACTTCTCCGCGAGGCCCGCGCGCCGCATGGAGGGCGCCAGCAGCCGCGCCCTCAGTCTGGAGGATGCCTTGTACCCCGGCTTCAGCGGCTGCATGACTAGCTTGAGCTCCACCATGCTCGACGAGAAGCTCTTGAGCGCCTCGGACAGGCTGTTGTCGGACACGCCCCGTGGTCCATTCCAGTCCAGGGTTACGTCGTCCACCAGGCCACGCGGTGTCACCGACGGCGCAATGGCGTGCGCTCTCTGCAGCGCGCGGAGCGTGAGTACCATCAGCAGCGAGTTGGCATGTCCACGCCCTGCGATATTCCCTTGCCAGGCCACGAATAGGTCCGACGTGGCGTTGAACGCCGCCAGCGTCCTTGGCTGCCGATAGGTGCTCAGCAGCATCCACACCAACCTCATGAGGAACCTCAGCGCTCGTGCCTCCACCATCTGCGCCTCTGGCGCCACCAGCTCGTAGGCCTTCCAGAGGTCAGGCGAGCCTGTTCCTTGGCCAGGTTCAGCTCGCACGCGGAGTCGGAGCTCGAGCGTCCAGGGCCCGTGCCCCAAACCAGGGCCGAAGGATGGGCGAGCTCCCAGTCCTTGGTGATCGGCCTTCTTGCTCGACTCCACACTCGCACCAAAGTCGGCATGAGGCCGATCAGCCTGCAGCCCTCGTCAGGCTTGGGCAGCCTCACCATGGTATTGATGAGGCGGCCACTCGGCCACGCGAGGAGCTCCTCGCACTTGTGGTAGACCGCAACCATGGCGTGCAAGGCCTCGTCGGAGGGATCCTCCAGCGCCCTCGGCGGAATACCCGACTGGCCCACCCCTGCCTGTGCGCCATGGGAACGAGCGTATCACATCCTTTACGTCGTGCATCTGCAGCGGTGGCAACTTGTCCCATGTATGCGCATCAGGGGGGAGTTCCATGCTAGTGAGGCCGTGGTAGTTCCAGATGTCGATCCACTGCTTCATCTCCCTGTCCACCAAGGCCGCTGAACCTTCCTTCCGCAGCGCGGGCAGCACCTCCTGGAGCGCAGGTACCTTGGAGGCCGCATGCGCCGCTCCCGCGCCGCCCAGGAAGGCCTCGCCCACCCGCTCCTTCCAGCGTGCCTCGTCGGCCTGGACCAGCCTCCTCTGCTTCTCCTTCGCCTCAACCAGGGCCCGCTTGAGGTCCCGCTCGAAGTCCGCCTCTGCCCAGTTGGCATCAGCTCGGAAGGGCCATTGTGCCCACCGCGGCAGGGTCCGCCAGTGCACATGGTCCTCGATGTTCGCCAGGAACATCTTGAGGTGCGCCCGGGTGGCCGCGATGGACTTCACGCACTTGCCCCTCTCCGCGGCCGCCTTTCTGCCTTCCTCCTGCCTGTTGCTGTCCAGCGCTGCCAGCAGCTTGCCCAGGCGGTCCCGTTAGCTGAGGAGCTCGGACGCCCACCCAGCCAGCGCCGCCCAGGCGTGCGCCTCTGGCCCCCGCAGCTTCCGCCTCTGGGGCGGCCTCCACTGCGCCATCTCCCATCTCAGGCCTGCAGCCTCCCCCCGCGTGCCGCGCCCAGCGAAGGTGCGGCGCGCGGGTCCCACCAGGTCCCGCCTGTCGAGGATCTCCGTCTCGATCCCCTCCAGCAACAGGTCCCCGATGATCTGCAGGCCTTGCTCGTCCTGCGTGGCCTGGACGCATCGCATCACCTCCGTCCACCGCCAGGGGCCACGGGCGCAGCCAGGCTTGGCGGGCCCCCTGGGAACCGCTCTCGGCTCACCCAGCACCTGCTGCCAAGACTCCGCTCTCAGTGCCCGCAGGGGCAGGTGGACGGGCCAGTGGGGCCACGTGCTGGCGCCCCGGTCAAGCCACGGCGGTGCCGCCGCAAAGCCAGCCAGGCTCTTGGACACCACGAAGTAGTCGATCTTGGAGCCGCTGCCTTGCCTGCAGGTGGGGGCGTCGGGTACACGAATCTGCGCTCGCAGCTTGCGGATCCACCCGAAGCTCAGGACATCCGCCTCCATGTTCCAGTCTCCCATGACCACCCAGTGGTAGCCCTCCGCCTCCAACGCGCCGAGGTACTGGGCCAGCTGCCATATGATGCCCGGGTTGTTCGCCGAGAGCCCCTCCCCGACGTGCAGGTACACGCTCAGCACCACCACTCCTCCTTGAGGCCCTGCTCGTGCATGCCCAGCGGCCAGTCGCCCAGGCACCAGCACGTGCGAGTCGCGCCCGGGGGGTCCCCGTCAACTGGATGCTGGCGGGGGCCAGCACCGCGACCCCGCCGCTCGTGCCCGTCGTCGATGTCGGGGGCGGCGTGGCGGCGCTCCAGACCCCGTGCCAGCCAGCATCCTTGGGCGCCCGTTGCTGCGTCGCCAGGACGCTTGCCGCACAGTGTTGCTCCTGCGCGGCCGGCGCCAGGGTCGTTTGTCCATCCGCCTGAAGGGGGTACTCGTTCAGGGGACCCCGCGACGTCACGTTGGCGGTGGCCAGGCAGCAGCCTCCCCTGACTATAGGCGCGCGCTCCTCCACGCGGCCCCGAGGTGGGCCTGCAGCTCCTGTCCCCTGGCCAGGCAAGGCTGGGGCCCGCGGGAGGGCGGCGCCATCCCGCGGCTGGGGGGGCGGGGCGAGCGGGGGGCTCGAGCTCCACCCAGGGCGCGCAGGATCGGCTGCAGCTCCTACCGAGGCAGGGCCTCGGGGCCTGCAGCCCAGGTGGCAGACGGGGCGGCCGAGCTCCACGAAGACCTGGCCGCCCCCCTCCAACGAGTCGCCGAAGGTGAAGTCCGTGTGGGGGGGAGGCTGCGACTTCGAGGGGCTGAATCCCTCCGCCCCCCCCCCCCTGGGCCGTGCCCTGAGGCCGCCGCCCGCGGTTGCCAGTTGGGAGACCCATCCTGGCCAACCGCCTCTGACATCCTGGGGCCGACCTCTTGATGGCCGATCACCCCCTTCCGCCCAGAGTGGGTCTGAAGGTCCGCCCACTCCACGAGAGTACCTCCAGGACGGTCGTGCCACCCGTAGGCTGAGGCCGACCCCTGCAGCTCATCCGCGCACCGCAACCCCAGCGCCGCGCCACCAGCGCCCGCTGCCGTTGCGCGCGCTGGCCGCGCCTGACCTTCTCGGCTTGGGCAGCTGTCCGCTCCCCAGCAGTCGCAGATTCCCTAAGCACGGGCAGCCTGCTCGTCGGCCTCGTACAACTCGTTGTAGTCGGCCACCCCATTGCCACTGCTGCCCGCCATGGTTCCTGCGTTGCCCTCAGGCCGAAGTGCGCGCCCGCTTGGGCGGCTGCAGGTCCAAGTCGGCGTAGAACTGCTTGAAGGCTTCACGCGCATCATCGTCAGCAGGACAATCAGTGCCCTCGACCCCAGCTGGGGCAGCCCCCACCTTCGTGAGGAAGTTGAGCTGCGTGTCAACGTCCAGCTCCTCATCGTCCATGGCGTCTCCGCCTGCAGGGACTCCTTCCCCAGGGATCGGGGCACGCTCCCGCTCGGCCGCCTTGGCTGCTGCTGCCGCTGCAGCCTCGGCCGCCCTGGTCTCTCGGCGCTGCGGCTCGACCTTGGTCGCCTGTTCCAGCGACGACGCATGCAGAGCCCCTTCGATCCCGATCGAGCCCAGCACTTTGCCCAGGAAGTTGGCGGAGACCTTGAGGCCCTCGACCTCGATCTCCCCCTCCATGCCACTGCGCAGCTCAGAAGGAGGCTGAGCCAACTTGCCCAGCGTGCGAGCCTGCTCCGCCCTGAGCTCGGCCAACTTCGCCTCCCTCTCGGCGCCCGCCAGTCGCAGCGCTTCGGCCTTGTCGTCGAGCTCCTTCTGCTGCGCTGCCACTGCCACCATCTCCCCACGGCCCTTCTCCTGCTGCTTCTCCAGCTTCTTGATCTGGTCAGTGAGGCTCTTGAGCTGCACGTCCTTGGGCTTGGCCTGGAAGACTTCCTGGCGCAGCTGATCTCGCTCCGCCTCGAGCTTGGCCTTCCTGCTGCGGGCGGCCTCCGCGAAGTCGCCCCCGTCGTCCTCCATGTCAGCCCAGCGCCGAATCTCGCCCAGCTGCTTGTCCAGCTGCTCCAGGCGCTGGCGCTTCTCGCCCCCCGCCGCTGCGTCCTCTCGCCATGGGGGGCGTGCCACCTCCAGGCGCAGAGCTTCCTCCCGCACCAGGCTGGGCCGCCGCCGCCTTGAGCTTCTTGAGCTCGTCCAGCGCCTGGGCGAGCTTGACCTCGGCGTTGCTCCGCGAGGGCGCCGCCTGCGCCGGCTTCCCCCCGAAGTGGGAGCTCTTCGGCATGTTGCACCACTTGCACTGCATGCGGTTATCGAAGTTGAGCTTCCTGAAGCCCCTGGCGTCAGGCGTACTGCACGACTTGCAGTACCAGGGGCTTTTGGCAGCTGCCTTGCCCGCGGCCCCAGACTCGCCGCTGCGGGGCCCGCCGCCAGAGCTGCCCCCAGCATGGCGCCCCCAGCACGGCAAGGAGACAGAGCGCGGCGGCCGGCTTTTCCAGCTTGTCCCAGAGACTACCCCATTGAAAAACCTTGTGTTTTCAAGTTTTTCCAGCTTCTTTTGTTTTTCCCAGAGATTACACAATGGAAAAACATTGTCTTTTCCAGCTTTCCAGCTTTTCTCAGAGACTACACCATTGAAAAACAATGTGTTTTCCAGCTTTCCCATCTTTTCCAGCTTTTCCCAGAGACAACACTATGGAAAAACAATGTTTTCCAGGTTTTCCAGCTTTTCCCAGAGACGACCCTATTGAGAAACCGTGTGTATTCCAGCTTTTCCCAGCTGGAAAACACATGGTTGTTCAATGGTGTAGTCTCTGGGAAAAGCTAGAAAAGTTGGAAAAGCTGGAAAACACAAGGCTTTTCAATGGGGTAGTCTCTTGGGAAAAGTCGGAAAAGCTGGACAAGCTGGAAAACACATTATTTTTCAATGGTGTAATCTCTGGGAAAAGTGGGGAAAGCTGGAAAAGCTGGAAACACACATTGTTTTTCAATGGGTAGTCTCTGGGACAAGCTGGAAAAGCTGGAGAAGCTGGAAAACATATGCTTTTGGAGAGAGAGAGAGAGAGAGAGAGAGAGAGAAAGATGAGAGAGAGAGAGAGAGAGAGAAAGAGACAAAGAGAGAGAGAGAGAGAGACAGAGAGACGCCCTAGTACGTTTGTTCGGGCCCCGGTGCACTCCCGAGGCTGGAAAACGATGCTCTTGGATCCAAGATGCCATCATGCTTCAATGATACGAAAAATGTCTAAATCAATAAGCCCCGCGGCACGAGCCCCGAAGGGTTCCAAGACGATACCTGTGAGCCTTCGCGGGGGTCGGCCTCAAACAAACGTTGCGTTAGTGGCCCCTTATTACCAATGACGAGGTTTTCTGTGTGAGTGGGCTGACTGAATAATCCCTTTCCGTCTTGTTTCAGACGGGGCAGAGAAACTTTTCAGTTTCCCTCTCCCATAACTGAACAAGGAAACTTTTCAGTTTCCTTCTCCAGTGATTTGGACACGGGGCAGAGAAACTTTTCAGTTTCCCGCTCCCGTAGCCGAACAAGAAAACTGTTCAGTTTCCTTCTTCAGCGATTTGCAAGCGAGAGCGGGAGCGAGAAACTTTTCAGTTTTCCGCTCCCGTAACTGAACAAGGAAACAGCTTTTCAGTTTCCTTCTCCAGCGAGCCTGGAATGGCAGAGGGAAACTTTTCAGTTTCCTTCTGCCGA